CTCCGTGGGACAACACATGCTCTTACCCTCCATTAGATCCCCAAGCTCCAGCCTCGAGCTCCATGGGAGGCTCCATGGCCCTTCAGATATCCCTCCCTGGCTGACCTCAGAGGCCGGCTCCTAGGGTCAACCCATCATCAAGACCCATCACGATACCCCTCTGCCTGCCCCTGCACCTCCACGGCTGCATCTCCCCCCTCCAACCAGTCCCAGGGCTCTGCCCCTTCACAGATAAGCGAGTTTCCCCTCCACTGCAAGCCATGCCCTAGTTGTCTCCCCTGCCCCAAAACCAAAAAGGGGGCCTCAGGACCCTTCAACAAGCTGCTGGGGACACTGGGGTGCCCAAGGAGAAGGAAACCCTGAGCACAGCCATCTTCTTTCCCCACAGGCTGGCCCCCAAAAGCCAGGGGAAGCTGTGCAATGCTTCCCCCCCACACACACATTCCCCCAACACACGGGAACACCAGCAGGACTCAAGCACGTCCACAGTGGAGACCTGCTACTTGTAAAAACATTGGGCCAGGATGCATGCTGGGGCCCGACTCCTGGGAAAAGACCCCCAGCCCTCCAAGCCCAGAGAGCCCCCCCAGCTACTGCAGGCACCCAGGGCTGGCACAGACAGTATTGGCAATGCTTCACCTCGCGGCACAGGAGGGAGCAGAGGGGCCCCACGGAGACGTGCATGGAGTTAGCCACTGGCTTCTGCCCGCTGCACCTGGTGGGCAAGCCCCGTCTCCGTGTATATCTATCAGGATAGATATACACACGCATGCAGAGAGGCACAGATCAGTTTTATTTCAGCCAGGAAGTAATTGCGTAGGCAACGCGGCATTAAAAAAGAAAAAAAGTCATGTTGTGAAGACTGTGTCACGTTAAGAGCCATCAGGGCGGCACCGGGGGAGAGTGGGGGGGACCCCCCCCTTCCTCCCCCAGATCATGGGAGGGTTTTGCATAGCTCCAACCAGGGTTTTTCTGCAGTGGGGGAAGTTTGCGGCTCGGGTGGAGGAGAAATCACACTGCTGCAGCTCCTCTGGCTTGCTAAGCTGCCCAAAAAAGGGGGGTTTCCTGGGGAAAGAGATTTTCTCCCTTGAGGTAGAAAATAACATCCCATGCTAAGGATGGCTGGGGACAGACCGGTGCAAAGAGGCATCAGGGGGACGAGGGGTGCCTTGCCCTCCCCACAGTGCCCCTTCGCTCGCCTGGCCACACAGATGACGGACAGAAGACAACAGAGAGCGAGGCCGTGCAGGGACAGCGGGCGTCCCCTGCCATCCGCTTTATTGACCCCCCCACCCCCTCCTCTGCGAGGGGGCCGGCTGGGGGTGACACACCCCCCAGGCCGGGGAGAGGAAAAACAGCGACAACACGATGCACAGCAGGACGGGTCCCCCTCCCACGCAGCCATCCCCTGGGACCGAGAGCAAGGTGATACACACACACACACCCCCCCCGGAAAACCAGGAGGGGTATGCAACAAAACGGCCTAGGAGGCCCCAAATCCCCCCCCCCAGGGGACAACAGTGCAGGGCTGGGGGCAGCCTGGGCAGTGGTGGGTGCTGCCCCCCACTCCGCTCTCCAACCCCAGGGGTCTCGCAGGACAGGGGCATGAGTGCAGCCAGCCCTCACCAATGGGGAGAGTGTCCCCAGGGCAGCCCCCAAAGCTGCGGGGACCTCCCCAGCACCCCATCACAGGTGGCTCCGAGAGGCCCT